TTGCTTAAATTTCGCGCTGGTAAATTGCGTTCCATTATCCGAGATCAGGATTTTTGGAATGCCGAATTTGCCGATAATCTGCTCGCTCACTGCTCGAATTACTCCCTCCGCTGTTGCCTTCCGCATTGGTAAAATCTCGACCCATCTTGAGAAACGATCTAGTATTACCAGCGCCATAGTGTTTCCATGATTGGATCGCGGAAGAGGTCCTACGAAATCAACACACACTGTCGCCCAGGGTTCTTCGGCTAGCTGCGTCAGCATCTTTCCGGCTGCTTGCTGCAGGCTTGGTTTGTAAAGCTGGCACGTTTCACACTGCGCACGTACTGCCTCACGTCACGGAACATGCCCGGCCAATAGTACCGCGCTGTCGGCCGCGCTATCGTTTTTCGGATGCCCATATGGCCTGCACTGGGAACATCGTGAATTTCCCGTAACACCCTCTGTCTTTGCTCTGCCGGCACGCATAGTTTCCATGGCAACACGTCTTCACCGTCAATTTGTCCTGATATTCGCCTGTACAGCTCACCATTTTCGATGACAATGTCAGGAAACTTCTGTGGAGACCTCTCCACCTCCGCCATCTTGTCTTTCAGCCACTTGCACTCTACCGCTACTCCTCCCGCCGTCATCGAACCAAGCAATGTTTCCTGGGGCTGTCTTGACAGCGCGTCTGCTACCACATTCAGCTTACCCTTGCGATACCGCACATCGAAGGAGTACTGCTGCAGTTCCAGCGCCCACCTTGCAATCCGACCGGAAGGACTCTCTATCTTACTCAGCCATTTTAGCGCTAAGTGGTTGGTGATGACGGTAAACGTATATCCTTCTAGGTAGGGTCTCATTTTTCTGATCGCCCACACTATGGCCAGGCACTCTTTCTCCGTTGGTGAATAATTAAGTTCGGCCTTGTTGAGCCGGCGAGTCGCATATGCGATTACGCGTTCTTTTCCTTCAATCTCTTGGGTGAGAACAGTTCCCAGCTCGTAGTCGCTCGCGTCTGTTTGCAGAGTGAACTTCTGCGTAAAGTCGGGGCAAGCCAACACTGGTGCCTCGGTTAACGCGTTCTTCAGCGCCTCGAACGCTGTCTGTTGCTCGTCGTTCCATTTCCACTTGTGGCCCTTCTTTAGCATGGACGTCAGCGCATGCGCCACTTTGAAAAATTCGGGGACAAATCTTCGGTACCATGAAGCTATCCCTAGGAACCTGCGTAACTCCCTTATATTTGTCGGTGGTGTCAGCTCTTTGATAGCCGCGACCTTCTCAGGATCGGTGTGAATGCCCTTCTCGCTGAAGACCTGACCCAGATACTTCAACTGCTTCTTGAAAAAATCGCATTTTTCTGGGTTGATCGTAAGATTCGGCTGCCTAAGCCGTCGGAAGACCTCCGAAAGATGTTGGACGTGCTCTTGCAGGGTTGCGCTGATGACAATAATGTCATCCAGGTAGGCAAAAGCATACGGCTCTAGCTCTGGACCGATAACTTGGTCTAACGCACGCTGGAACGTCGCGGGGGCGGAGTGGAGCCCAAACGGCATTACTCGCCATTGAAAAAGACCACGCCCTGGCACTGTAAAAGCAGTGTACTGCTTGCTCTGCTCTTCCATCGGGATTTTCCAGTAACCGTTTTTCAGGTCAAGGCTGCTAAGTCGGTCAAGGATATGTTGGATCTTCGGTAGGGAGTACGCGTCGGGCACTGAACGCTCGTTCAGCTGTCGGTAGTCGACGCAGAGTCTCCACTTGCCGGTCTCCTTCTTCGCCAACACTATCGGGGCGCTGTGCGGGCTGTGTGAGGGTTCAATACACCCTTTCTCGATAAGGTCGTCGATTTCCGCGTTGATGATTTCCTGCATCTTCGGGTTCTTCGGGCAATACCTCTGCTTGATCGGCCGGTCATCCTTCATGACGACCCGGTGAGTGGCAATATTTGAAACTCCAGACATCTTCTCAAATTTGCGTAACACTGACTTTAAGAACTCTCTCGCTTCGTCGGTTGTCGCGGCTTCTGTGGGCATGGTGTTTGATTTGGGCTCATCGCATTTACCTGACCTCTCTGCACCTCCCTCGCGTATTGCCATGAACGTTTCTACTCCTTGTGCACAGCTCTCTTCTCGGAGTGTCACGTCTAAGTCTCCGCAACATAATCGGACCCCCGCTTTTGCCAGGTAATCGGTTCCAAGCACCACGTCATCCATCAAAC